ATTAGCTTTTGATCTAACAAATCAATATTAAGAAGCCACATATATCTCTCAAATTTCATATAATTTATGGATTTATTTTTTTCTTCTTTACAAGTATGATTTCTATATATATATATATATATATATATATATATATATATATATATATATATATATATATATATATATATATATGTGTGTGTGTGTGTGTGTGTGTGTATATAATCCCTAAATCCTTCGAAACTAACGCGGCGATCATTTTCATTCCCGGCCTCAGCGAGAGACGCCGTCCGTTAACCTCTTCAGCGTTGCCTTTTCCACCGCTCCTCCTCGCTCACGATCCTCTTTCGAGCTCCGGGCGAATGCTTTGTAGTTCTTCTGTCAAAGCGACTCTTTTCTTCTTCTGGTTCGTAGAAAGGGGGAGGGACTAGGCGCTGGATGAGATCATTCGCCTCTTGCGCGTTCCTTTCGCTGATGCTCCTCCTCGCCATCGATCCCTTTTCGAGCTCCGGACTGCGTCCCTAGTGGGCGATCGGTACCGATCCGTTGTAACTCCGTGGGCGAAGGCTTTGCAGTTCTTCCTTCAGAATGGTTCCTTTCGTCTTGGAGTTCGAGGAAATGGGGAAGGACTAGGTGGTGGCTGAGATGACGAAGCGCTCTCTCCCATTGCCCTTCATCTTATTTCTTCCCATCGCTGTGTTCTCCTTCTTCAGATTCCGGGCGGCGTTCCTCGGTTATCCCAGCGCCGGGCCGCTGCCGGGGGGCGCCCCCTCGGTGGCGCCACCTCCCTTCCCCAATGTGACGCTGCTTAGTTTGGCGGCGGAGGAGGTCGGGGAGGCGGAGCTGAGGAAGGACGTCGAGAACCTCCTCCATGGGAGCTTTGTTTCGGTTTCTGACGGTGGCGGTGGGAGGAGGTTCCGGTCCTACTCATCCTGGCGGCAGGACAACCACCTCGAGGGTCGGACGCGCATGAGGCTCCCGGCCCAGTTCCACGCCCCCAAGTACTATCATTTCTTCCCCGAGTTCCGCCGCTCGCTGCGTGACTGGTTCCGGAGCCGCCGCTTCCAGCCGGAGGTCATGTTAGAGCTCGTTCGGCTCGTCAAGATTCCCA